ATCTATGGCGGCAGCCGGACGTGTTCGTCCTTAGCTCCGCAATACAGGACCGGGCAACGCTTCTGAAGCGCCGCATCACCGCCTGTCATGGGCTCCAAGAGGGGTAAGAAAGCCCAGGGAACCAGACCGGATCGCACACGGACCCCGAGAGCCGGCATCGGCAGCTTCTTTGCAGCCCCAGCACACACGCGCTCTGCCGGCTCTGCGGGCCGCATGTCGGCCACACGTGGGGAATCCCCTGCTGCCCCTGACTCACCATCCTCCCAGCCAGCCGACAGGTCTCCCGTCCTGGCGGACCCAGAGGTCTCCTCTGATGAGGAATCTACATTGGAGGGCTCTGGGGGAGAGGTCAGACGCCTGCTGGATCACCTCCCCTCTAAGAGGGATATGGAGGCCCTGTTTGCACGATTTGAACATGTGCACAGGGCGGACGTTGCTGGCCTGCATGAGGCTATTAAAGGGGTACACAAACGCCTGGACACAGTGGACTCTCATCTGGATGCACATCGCACGGCCATCACTGACCTGCAGAAAACGGCTTTAGCCCAACATAAGCTGCTGCAATCTGTGTGGACGCACATGGATGACGCTGAAGACAGGAATAGGAGGAACAACATTAGAATCCGCGGCCTGCCGGAGGCGACGGGGACAGCGGACCTGGAACCCACTATCAGAGGTATCTTTAATTCACTACTTGATAGGGGGGCGACGGACCCTATCGACCTTGATAGGGTGCACCGAGTCCCTGGATTCCGAAATCCCTCTGCACAACTACCCAGGGATGTCCTGTGCCGCGTCCATTTTTATAAATTGAAGGAGGAAATTATGTCTAAGGCCCGGGAGCGTGGCTCCATTGACTTTGACGGAGCGGCTATTACCTTCTTTCCTGACCTGTCACCCCGGACCATGGCTCGCCGGAGGGCCATGCGGCCTCTTACAGCGTTACTACGAGACCGCCACATTCCTTACAGATGTGGGTACCCTTTCCATCTATCGGTGCGCCACAATGACCGTCTGATAATCCTTCGCTCCCCGACTGATCTCGCTGGAT